GCACCACTTTGTTCATGGGGCGTAGGTCGGTAGGACTGCTGCCGTTGGACAAGAGATCGTCCTTCGTGCGGCGGGTTCTCTTCGCACAAGTCGCGCATTAGACCCTGCAGGACTGGAGAGTCTCTCGTAGCATCAGAATATTGGACGGAATTATGCAAGACCTGAAGTAGAGCTGTATAGGTTTGATGATGGTGAGGCACCGTTGCAGGTTCTTCTCCATAGTAACCATCGTCAAGTGGATACTCAACGTCCGTTGTGTCGTCGCCCTCGGATCGACTGGCCCAGAGCCTGGCGTCTTTGCGCGCATCTTCGGCCGACTTTCGCAAAAGGCAAATATTAGACACGTGAAAGCGAAGGCGGGGACTAAGGCCCGCATGAAAAGTCGACCATATGTCGGTGATATCGCCGCGTGTTTCAGAAGTGAAATGTTCCCAAGGGACGAATAAAGCCAGATGTAGGACAGAATTCCTCCGGCAGACTGTTAGACATGGTGGAGGGGGCAATGGGAGTTTCAACCGTACCGCTTGATATAGACTGGGTGATCGTCCTCATGATCGTCACTGATGTATCCTTGAAATATTGGGACGGCATACTCGTCAGGTCGTCGAAGCCTTTGCAACCAGTCCTCTGACCCCGGAGTGGGCCCGTGGAGAGCGATGTGAGTTTCATCCTCAGCTCGATCTCTCCGACGCACCAGATGAACCATAGACATATAGTCATACAGGCATATGTCTCGCAAAACACTGCCTCGGTATGCGTAAGCATCTAGGTATAGTAGCGTACGCCCACTTTCCCTCAAAGGGATTGTCTGTGGTGGTTCTTCAGCATCCGTCAGCTCGCCGGCCTGATGGCGGAGAAGTGCCCATCGCCGAAAGATTGCCCAATAAAGCGCTGTCAAGTTCAGGAAAGACCAATGAGGCACATTGGTAAAATCGGTGTGGTATCCAAGCAGGTGGTAGCATACTTCCACGGCCGAGAGCTGTCGCTCCGAAAAGATGCGATTTGCCGCTCTCATCAGGAATTGACGGCTTTCGTTTAAAACAGCCAGCTGCCTATCGTTGTGCTGGGCACGGTCTAGTGCGCGGGATCTAGAACCAGTGGACTCGCGAAGCTGACGGGCGACCTCGGCAGCCAGAGCAAGGCGCTTCCACATCGGCGTATCCAGTTTAGTGGCGTAGTTGGTGATGTAATACACCATAGCCAGCCCCTTGGATTTGGTTAAAATCATTGATACGTCGTGGTTATGTCGAAGCCCAATCGCCAATGACTTGTTGTATCGATTGACAAGCGCATGGTTGCGCCTGATTCTGAGCAGGCCATCGTCTGTGAAGCCTGTCTCCTCGACGATTTTCCATGGTGCTCTGAAGCGGCAGGCCGTTCGTCTGTGCGAATCGGCGGCCTGTTCGACGATGCCCTTCAGAGAATACTTGAGGCAGGTGTACGTGTGGGAGTGTACTTGGCAACAGTAGGCGATGAAGTTGGATTCATCCTCGAAGGCCGCAGTGAGAGCCGAAGTGCTAGTCATGACCTCCTCCACGGCATGGATGGGCTTCCTTTGCTGGCGCACCGCTCTCCCGGCATCCTCATCCAGACACTCGTGGAAGACTGAGTCCACATACCGGACCACGCGAGACCGATAAGACTCTTCGTTGGGGTTGGCCATCTCATCCATCAGATTTGGTAACTGCATGTTGCCTTCCAGCCAGAGGAGGCCATGGAGGTGAAGGCTGCCCCGTTCGTTCGTTTCTACAGTTGCATAATAGTGGCTTATCTTTCCAAAGATCGATTCCTGGCCAGTGTTTACGTATTTCTCGAAGAATAAGGAGACTTCCCGGTGGAAGAATATGGCGGCGCTGACAGGATCCATGGTGCTAAGCGCTACGGCGTCGTACCTTTTCCGGAGGTCCTCCAAGAGCTCATTCGCAGCGTCGTAATCGTGAAGCCTGTGAATGGCGAGTTTCATCTTTACGGGATTATTGATATCGTTGGGACTGATGGTAATCCAAATTGCAGGCATACCAGTCCAAATGTCAATGGCTTGTATCTTCCTCCTCATAAGCAGTCGGGATTCGTTGGAGAGCGGCTGTGCATGACCAAATATCGACAACTCGCGAAGCAAGAACGATATGTCGGGATCTGCCGTGGTTCTCGTCTCCCGCATCTCTGCTTCCGCCCTCTTTAGGCGGTCAGACGTTAGGCTGGCATAGACTTGCTCAAGTCGGCGGAAGGAATCCCTAGCGACACGGACCATGCTGATGCGGCGGTTGGAAGCGCGGAGAAGGCTGTTGAACACCAGAAAACAGAAGACAGGATGCGCAGCAAAACGGCCACCATGTCGTTGTAACATGTGTCTAGCCCAGTAACTGAGCGAGTGATTCGAATGGCGCTCCAGGAGTTCGGATTGGTTGTGTGGATGAGAGACGCGTTTTGACTTGGGGCCGCCCTTCCCCCATGGAAACAGCTTCGGAAATGTTCGAGGGAAGAAATCCTCGTGCAAATTGTCTGCAAAATCTACTCCACGTTCGACTCGGACAAACGGTTGATTTCCCGTAGTTTGGACCTGCATAGTGCAGGGTTCAGGGCCGCCACCTCGGTCCCGGTCGGCGTTTACTGCGTCAGCAAGGAAAGACAGCTTATCAGTCTCCGCGAAGGCAGCAGGTCCATCTAGGGGGAACATGCCGGACGTAGACGTCTCAAAGACTGTGTCAGAATCTTGGCGGATGGTACCCGAGTTAGGAGCCCCTTCCTGGGCAGGTGAGGGCCGAGGCTGCTCAGGCGACAGAGAGCTGCCATCAGATTCAGCGACAAGGGCAGAGCTGACCGAGCTTAGGAGTTCATCGATGCTTGTGAAGCGATTCTCTTCCAGACCTCGGTCTGTGTCTGGAACTATGTGGTCCGTTTGTGTCTTCTCTGCGGCCAACAGCTCTTCTCTCCGCATACGGTCCATGATAAGGGTTAGAACAGTGGACCCACCCTCATACCGCCAGCCGTCTATTTCTGCCTGGTCGATCGTGATATTTGCGTAGAGAGGGTTGTTTCTTTGCAGCCATGACAATGCAGCCACTACCCGTGATTTGCGCACCTGAAGTAGATGCCTGACGTCTGCGGAACCAGGCCGCTCTGAACCGCTCCATGATATGTGGATGTTCTCAATGGCCTGCAGCAAAGGATGGGGAAGGACCGTGGCAACAAGGTCCTCCACCTTGTTCGGGAAGACGACGATATGGCCCTTAACGTGCTTACGGTAATTGATGCCTGAAGGGGTTTTGTTGTCGACCGTGAACTTAGTGATGCAACCGAAAGGGGCGTGCAGGGCTATGAGTCTCTCTTCAACGGGAGAGAGGTCATCGAGTTCCTCGGGGTACCGATGCTCGCAGCCAATGTCCATGTTATTGACAGAGCAGGCCTTGGGTAGCTTCCCACCTTCCACGTCGGTGCGGCATCCGCGACACACCTGGACCAGAGCGGCATCGTGTAGGGGAAAGCACTTCGTGCATCGCTGCAAAGCCGCCGTGGCTTGAAGTAGAGACGGAGTGAGGAGCCTTTGCCAGTCAACGTCAGTGAGCTCAGAAGGCATCCGCTTCTCGTAGCATAGAACGCAATGGGCAATAGGCAACGTGTTGTCGTCCGTGAATGCTTCGTAGAACGACTTCGCTGCGTTCACTTGTACGGAGAGGGGAACCTCCGTACACCAAGATCGTGCTGCTGATGCGCGCGCCTTGCCCTGAAAGCGAGCTTCATAGGCTTGCACCACTGACTCAACAGATGCATGCTGTTGTTGCACGGCATCCTGCGTGAGTCGCTGCCTTTTAGACTGTGTGGGGGATGGTGTTGGCAGTGGTGCCTGTTCCCTGCGGCGCTTCAAGGATGCCGCCCGTTCTTCATTTCGCTGGCAATCCAGACGCTGCACAGTCTGGAGAATATCGTCATGGGGCACTCTGAGATACCTTTGCTCCCGCTCGGCGGCCCGCTCGGTGGCCCTCTGGGAATCCATAGATGCCATCATTCTGCGGATCTCATCGGGAGACACATAGACCGCCGGCTCCCGGGGCATGGTAGGCAAGAACAAGATATTGTCAGAAAAGGGGGGATCGGGCAAGGAGAAGACCTAGTCGCAGATTGGCCGTGGCAGAGAGTGCAACGGAAACGGCACTCCAAAGCAGTACGATATCTGGCACTGGCAAGCACAAAGTCTCGCAACGATGCGATACACGGCATCGAAATGAGGCAATCGCCCCGACAGAAGCTGGGCGCACATGGTGGTCCGGAGGGCTGGACCCTACGCCACCTAAGCAACGCGTAGTGCGACATAGCGAGCAGAGAGTTAACTGGTGAATGAACGAATTGGAGCGTCGTGGGCAAAAGGAACGAGGATCTGCGGGCCGGGATACGGAGGCATCTGTAAGGTAGATTGATAAAAGAGCCAGTGGCTCAAATGACGGTGAAAATGGCGGTGATTGATAAAAGAGCCAGTGGCTCAAATGACGGTGAAAATGACGGTGTAAGTGGGCGGTGACAGAACGGGAGGATCGGGCGGGAAGAAAAGTGGCGAAGTCGGTGGCTGGAAGGGCACGGTGCGCTAGGTGGCCCGTGCGGAGGGTGCGGAAGGAAGAACCTTTCGTCTCTTCGTTCCTCAAGGCATGTTTTCACCTTTCAGCCATAAGACGTCCTTTTCCGATGACATTACTTATTCACACACTCTTCCAAACGCATGCTCGGCTTCATTTTCTTCTGCTTGATTTCTTTTCTTCTCCCTGTTTTTCTTTTCTCATTTCCCTTTCGGTGAAAACATTCCAACCAGAGTCAGAGCTGTTGCTCCACAATATCTGGGACAAGGGATACTTAGGTAAGCATGCCGTAGTCTGTGTTTCATGTGTGTTCCAGGGGTCGACTGGTGACTCATCGACCTCTCTCGGTGCCTGCTGTCGTTGTCCTCGAGCGCCGCCCGCCGCTCGACTCAACTCATCTGTTCTTCACTCCTTCAACCTCGCCACCACACCATGCAAGAATCTATCACCAATTTTGACAGATATGTGAACGAAGACGAACTTAACTACGGGACCCCCGGCTCCCCGGTGATTGGCGACTGTACGTCCTTGTTCGACGATCGGAGCGAGACTTCTGCGAACGACGTCCTTCCATTGCTGCAGTTGGACAACTGGAACCCTGATCTGTCTTACAACGAGTCTCCTCCCACGAGCATTCACTACACGATCGAGTGGAAGCTGTTGCTGAACGGAGGAAGAACAACCAAGTTGACTAACGATACCGAAAAGGATCTTGTCCTCGCGCCCGGTGCATTCTGGGACAGGTGCCTGAAGTCCAAAGTTGAGGACGTCCTGAAGAAGAAGACGCCGCCCCGAAAGTCCTATAAACTTGACGAAACAAATATTATCGTATCCACAACTGAACGCGGTGAACGTGACTTTACCAAGCGATTTGATGAACTGGACATAGATTGGCAGGTCATCGAGAGGCAGCTAGAAGACTGGAGCGACCTATTCCGAGCCGGGAAAAAGCTGCGCATCGAGATCTCGTTCATCTGTAAGGAGGATACCCAAACAAGTATGATTACACGAAGCGGACGAGGGGCGACTGGCGCACAACTAGTGGAACGAAATGGTATCATCGAAGGGCAACAGGCTGCCGGACAGCCTACGGTCTGGGCAGCTGTCTACCAGCTCTTGAGATGCTCGGGCCATCCATGCAAGAACCAGGGAGGCTATTGCTTTCGTGATCCCGACAGCAAACGGCATTTCCCACTCGACACAAGCGTCATGACAAAGCTTGTGCGCTTCGCGGAGGATGGAAACGTGCTTGATACACACAAAGACGTGCCCGAGGCCATTCGCGAGTTGATATACGCCAAGGCGCATGAAACCTCAGAGCGCAAGCAGAAGCGGAAGGCATCGTCGGAACATGCAGAAGCCAGTCGTCCAATCAAGATTGTAAATGTGTTGCCTTCATCCTATCGCCAAGACTCGCCGGACAGCGCTGCAAGCTCAGGTTCTGATCGATCAACGTCCACGCGACACACCATCGACCTCCAGATCCCCGAGCCAAGGGACACGGCGATTCGTACATACTGCCAATGGCAGTGCAACCGAGTCACAGGGGCCGATTGGAAAAAGGGGTTCCAAAAGGCATATTCAGTTGCCATGAAAGAGTTTATGGATCTGACGCATATTTTTGAGGAGGGCGACGTTGAGTATTTTGTTGCTCAAGGGGTTCCGCGTGGCATTGCGAAGTCCTTCGTTCGTGACATCGAGAAGTGGGTGAACGTAGTTGGTGCATCGTAGTGTATTTTGCTTTGTTTCTATTTTGTTTCTCTCGTGAATGACAATAGACTCGGCGTTCAGGCTTCGCACGCTCGCTCTATACAAATTCCGGAGTGACGGAAATGACCTTCAGCACTTGCCTCTCGTGATCCAACGATGTCCACCGCTAACCTTACGAATGACTCGAAGTCGTTCTCGAATAATCCAGCGTGATTTCGACGCTCCTTCCGAATGTATGTCTTCAGTTCGGAGAAGAACTCCTCAATCGGATTTAGGTCCGGAGAGTAAGGCGGCAACTTGATGAGTCTGACGCCCGCCTCTGCACACATTTCCTTCGTTCCAGTAGACCCGTGGAATGAAGCGTTGTCCATGATGATGACAGACTTAGGCTCTGGCCATCTTCCGCAGTGGTGCAGGAGCTGTCTGATGAAGTTCTCGAAGATCTCAGTATTGGTCGACCCTGGATATATACGGGCAAGCTCTACCCCTTGTTGTGTGTACGCTGCGAGAACTTGAACGGTCTGTCCGCGACTGTAATCACTTATTCTGCTGGGCCGTGTGCCCTTTCTAGCCCAAGCACGCGATCGATGAGCCGTTCGCCTGTTCTGACCAGATTCATCGATGAAGATTAACTGGAACGATTTGCAGGTTGTTAGCTTATACAGGTACAGGTCGCGCAGCATTGGATTCTGCTGTTCTCCAACACGGCTGCTATTCTTCCTAGTCCAGCCTGCGGCCTGCAGCAGTCGAGTGATGGTGGACAGAGACACGTCGACTTCATATTCACTTCGGATGAAGGCAATCATCTCCGACCGGAACATGTTTGGCTCTTTGACTAGTTGATCAAAGAGGGCATCTTGTACAAGAGGATCTATCTTGCAGCGACGACCGACTCGATTAGGCGGCGCTTTCGTGCTTTCGAACATTCGCAAATTTGATCGGATACGCGAGACCGACCGAGAGCTACAGCCGACCTGTTCGGCAATCGATTTGTTCGTCAAGCCGGCCGGAATCATGCCTTCGAGCATTTCGTGCTGAGCCCGAGACAAATTCGGAGCCATGATTGCAGCGATCGGGAACTTTGACCTGGGTGAATTGACGGAGGAGATTCGTCGAACCTCAGCAGCAGGCCCCAGGCACCAGGCACCAGGCACCAGGGACAGCGGCGACGACACGTGTCCCAATACTGCCTGGTAGGGTGGGTCATCTGGGGCCCATATTCAAAAAATGATAATTGTACTGTTTTCAGCCACAAGTACAGCCACACACTGGGGGGTAACATCCAAAACTGGCCTGATTGGATTGTTTTTCTGGGTCTAAGGGGGTGAAAATAAAAACGGTCGGGACTGTACTTGTCATTGCGGCTGAGGTGCGGAGAGTCTCGATGATTCCCTGCATGCTGTAGGCAGCGTTGCAAACAAGGAAAACTTCTTTCATGAGACCCGATGGGTTGGCTGCAAATGTGTTTCGGAAAGACTCTTCAGTGTTGCTGGCGTTGAGGAGGGGGCATGGGGGTACTCGGTCGATGGGAGAGGGACTGGCGTTGGCCATGCCCGTGTGGACGATCGCGGCTGCCATGCTGTTGGGGGTGGGGGTCTCGGCTTGGGTCGCTTCGTTTGGCTGTCTTTGTTCGGTTGCGCTTCGTTGGGTTGGCTCCGTTTGGGTCGCTCCGTTTGGTTTCGCTTCGTTTGGTTGGTCTCGTTTGATCGTTACGTTTGGTTGGGTTCGTTTGGATGATTTCGTTTGGGTCGTTGCGTTTGGTTGGTTCCGTTTGTTTGGTTCGTTTGGTTGTGTTCGTTTGGATGGCTTCGTCTTGTTGGGTTGATTGATAGGAAAGGAGGCGAAAAACTCTGTTTGCAGGGATGAGGGTCCGTCTTGGGACGATGTTGGGAAGTTGGCAGTGTTCACGTCGAGGACAATGTCATGCCGTAGTGAGGTGCTGGTAAACAATATGTGACGGGACAAGGGCACGAACGAGGTCGAGTGCGACTTGGGTAAAACGATTGTTTACAAAGAGAGAAAAGGAGAGAGTGAGAGATTCGTAAGGAAAGCTCTCACTCAAACTATGTACAATATTCATAAAGTGAGACATTGTATAAAAAGCATATATGTCGTCTGGTGATACCCTCACACGTACTCCTCCCACTTAATCTGCAGGGCCTATCCCAAGCTCTTTGCCTTGGTCCGCAGACCCGGCCAGGACGCCTCCCCTGCGGCCGCCAGGTGGTGAGGCCAGTTACGTACTCCTCCCACTGGCTCCAAGTCCGCAGGGCCTATCCCTGGCCTAGTGCTGTTGCCTATAGGTGCTAGGACATCTCCCCCTATGGCCACCATGGTAGGGGCTGTTAAGCACGCCTTTCACTGGATCCACGTCCATGGGGGCCCCTTTCCTAGCCCTCTTCGCAACTTTCCCTGTATTCTTGGCAGTGATCCTATAACTACCTGTCTCGTAATGTTGCTTGTACTGTATCGCTGGCACTACAGTTACAGCGCTTAGCCAGAAGTACTGGATACTTATGCCTGTCGCGACGCGCTCGGTGTGTTTACGGTGCTGCATCGCGGTCTCATGTCGCAATTGCCACTTACGGGAAGATCGTGTCCTACATGCCTCTAAAGAAGGCTCTCAATTCGCCGTCGATTTTCGCGCATGTCCGCAGCGTGCGAACGTCTGGTGTTGCGGGATAGATGGTCTCGCCACAACGTAGCAGATTGGAGGCGATTACCATCGGAGTTACGCAGCATTTTGAGATCGTGGGTGCGAAATGACCTGATCAACACCATAGATCCGTTAATCGATGTATCTGCTGATGCGGCGCATAGCATCATACAGGGGCCGGGCGACGAATTATAGTAAATCATGGGGAGTGGGTTCGGGTTTCAACCTTTCCAATTCCCCGTCAATCCATTCAATCTGCGGTCGGCGTGGTTCAATTCAACGAGCAGAATGATGAGTAAGGTTCAATTCAGCTCAACGCACGCTTCAGGTGGATGGAATTGAATGGATCGCCAGCCTGAATTCTTCTCACATACCCAATCCCGCTGCCTCCGTTTGCTTGATCACTATAGGAGCTGTCTTGCCGCCACCTGTCGCAGCCGTACATTCCACGATATTGTGCATCTCATCCTATGCAGCTCCAGATTGCGCTTTGACTTCTGGAATGCAGGAGCTTATCTCGGTGTCCTCTGGCTACGTTCGTCCTTCAGCGTTACTCGCTTCTATTAGCAAGCGCGTCTGGGACCATTCCAGCATACCTCTCTGAGTCTGCCCTGGAACATATTTCTTTTGCTGCTGCCCAAAGCTGCTCTTTGGTTGCAATCAGCGATAGTACAGTACCAATCTCTTTACCTTTAACCACACCTTTTCACGATGAAGTTCATTCACCAAATATTCTGTTGCCTGCGAAAGCGACTGTTGCCAGGCGATTTCCCAGTGAAACCTATCGACATTGAACAAGTCGCCGCAGATGTCGTGGCTATCCTACGTCGAGCCAGGGAACCGGGCGGGAAGCTCACGAGAGACCTCGATGACGCCATCAGCTCAACAGGGTGGTCGGGGTACCTTGCGTACAGCATTTTGCGGTCATTGGAAATGACACTGTGTGAAGGTCGCGAAACTATGGGCCCCGCCATGGTCCGCTCCTTCGATGATGCAGTAGCCGCAGCAAAGAACGAGTTCTGTCTCTTGTGTGAGCTTGCCCAGGACTATCCCTGGGGAGAACCGGCCGCTGTAATGGATACAGTCATTGCGCTCGGTATGCTCGTGAAATTGATGCCAGGGGTGGTAAAATTGCTCGGCTTTGGTCCCTTTGGATCCGTACAAGGTCGGTGGAACACTGCAAATGCGTAGTAGAACGCTAACAATAGGTAGGTACTTTTGCTGCCAGCTGGGAGCTGACATATGGCGTTTACATGCCTCGAGGTTCTCTACTCCGCTTCTGTCAGCGGTTGGGCATGACGTGTGCCTACGATGAACGACACCAATCTCCAGACCGTGACAAGAGCTCCATGAGTTTCGCGTCCAGTACCACGGCAGTTAGCGAGGGTACTGCTGTCGAAGGGTCGAGTGGGCGGCACCGGGATGAGCCTGCGGGCTAGCGTCGTGGAGAGGAACGCGCCTATGTCGTGAGCGACTGAGGAAGCTGCGAAGAACCGGGAAATGATGCGGATCTGTCGTTGTGGAGACATACATTGACAGGCCGATCCATCGAAGGCTGTATTCACTGCAGATGGCAGAAGATAGAAAACACCTAATGCATTCGTCAAATACCGTTAAATTCTATGGTCATAAACCCGTGCTAGTACCATTTCTCCTAAGCCAAATTCGTATGATTGTCACAGCAGGCCAGCTAGGCAAGGATGCTATCTTTCATGTGTTTCGGACACAGCCATCTGGTCCCGGTGTACTATGCTAGGCGTTCATTGTCCCCTCTCGATGTTGGTCTAGCTGGAACTGGGCCGCCTCAGTCCCATCATCTGGTGCGGCTATCGTTTGGAACCATGGGTGGTTTAGGGCCTGCTTGGCAGTGATACGACGAGATGCATCACAGACGAATACCTTTCGAAGAAGATCCGTGAAGTTTCTGTAGAAGCCGGTATTAGAGGGCAGAATATGCTGCCCAATCTGTCAGTCGTGAGCTGCGGTGTACGGTGATTAGCGACTTACCTCGAGCCGCTTAGTGTCTCTAATAGCACGAGATTCCTCAGTCGCATTCGCTGCAGGATAGTCAAGCTTGAGACGCTTGAAATATCTACCCTTGGTTCGCACGTAAGCCTTGCGTAACGATTCGTTCAGACCGTACTTCGCTACATTTCCACGACTCCTAGTAGACAACTCGTTAACCTGCTGGACAAGATGCGTATCAATGGGCCAGCCGGGCAGCCGATGGCTTCTTCCGTCGTAGCCAGATGCTCGAGATTAACGTGCGCCTGGAAGAGGGCATCGCCGGTGAAGAACTCGATAAAAATGCAACCCATGCTACAAATGTCCGACAGAAACGACCAGCCCAAGCCGACGATGATCTCCGGGCCTCTACAGCCACATGTGCCAGGGATGGACATCTTACGAATCTATCGAATCGAACGCCAAGACCTGGCGTTCGAGTCGAATAGGGCCTCTGTAGATTCGAATCGAATCGAACGTAGCTCCTGCAGATTCGCATCGAATCGAACGTGGCAAAATTGTTGGCCCTTCGATTCGACTCGGATCGAACGTGTGTCCAGTATATTCGCATCGAATCGAACGCGTAAAATTTCCTGCCTGTTTCATTCGACTCGAATCGCGCGAATCTCCTGTAGATTCGATGTCTATCGAATGCCATCGTTCGATCGAATTCGAATTGTGTTCGATCGAACGTAGAACGCCAGCGGAGATGGGAGCACGCAGGGGGTATTGCACCAATACACTGTTGTGCCCGTCACTACGGCGCCAAGAGTGGTAGAGACATCATAGTTACAGATTGTCATTACACGACGCTAACTGGTCAATTCCGGCGCTTCTAATCCGATCAATTATCACTCGGTTCCTTTCAGCGATGCAAGAGCGTCAACCCATTGCTCATCACTAAGGCTAACCAGCGGCAGTGACGGCGTGTAGATCCCAGCTTTACTCCATGATCGAATGCATTGAGCCATCGCCACGATCTCCCTCCGCAGCCGGCTTCTCAATGGTGCTGTCATACGTCCTGCACTACTAAACGTCCTCTCGCTTTCCGCCGACGTCGATGGAATCGTAAGCATGTCCACTGCCATCAGAGACAGTCGCGGATATCGGTTCCGGTTGATCTTCCACCAGTCAATCGGTCTGCTTCTGTAGTGGTGGCTGTTGACAACGTCCTCGGCACAGTATCGAGCATATTCGTCATCACCAGTCCCTCCCGCAGTGGACGATTTCGTCTTTCGGCTACTCTTGCGGGCACCTGACGCTCCGAGCGAGCCCTGGTTGAATGGCGACCCAGCTACAGTCCTAGCCAGTCTCCGCTCAATGTAGTCCATAGAGGCCTCATCAGACGTAACGAGGACCTCATTGTCCACGTCGCGCTCCCTATACGTCTCCCAGATCTCCAAGAGCTTTGCTTCGTATTCCAATCGCCAACTCTTCGTCTTCCGCGAGGGTACTCGAGACCACAGTTGATCGAGAAGGCGCCACTTTTTCGCAGGATTGAAGACAACAGCCCCAACATATGCAGCGCTAGTCAGACGGCTGTAATATTTATGCAGCTTCTTCCATCCAAGCTTGATATAGACCTTGAGCAACCTGCGGGTTCTGCTATCGAGTCCGTCATAAATGGCTACTTCGACATCCTTCTTCTCCCTAGTCACTGGATCCTCAACCTCTTCGAAGATAGTGCCTTCGATGGCACTTTCGAGGTGGTCAAGTAAGACCTCAAAGACGGGGAAGTATTCATCGAAACTGCCACATGTGGACCTGCCGGCGGGAACACCGTTGCCCTGAAGTTGCTTGGTGGCAATCTCGAACGGTTTCAGAAGCTTAACCAGTACCTCGATAACTTTCCAGTCGTACGCACTTAGGCGGTACTGCAGAACTGCCGGCTTCGTTCTGTCACAGAGGCCGTCGGTTTCCCACCGGTTTTGAACGTCATTGAAGAAGGTATTGAGCCCCGGGCGGAGCCGAAGAGCCCTTTCCATCATACGCATGTCCGAATTCCACCGGGTGCCATTGTTGAAGGCCCAGTGAAGTGTTGTTCCGTGGCCGGATTCCTTACGTTGAGACTGAAGAAACTGTTCGTACAGCTGCGTGTTTCGCAGCTGAAGACCGATGTTATGAAGCATTCCGGGGGCGCCGTTCTGACTGTACTCCCTGAAGCTGGCAGCATTGATCTCCTCCGGAGCCGGGTGGGACGATATGAGGTCTTCTTCTGAGAAGTCAACGGCGGTGTTTGCTCCTGGGTCTTCGTCCGTGCCGTCCTCCATCTCTCAATTTAGGGCCTCGTCGATAGCCTGATCAACTTGCTCCTCGTCGTCATCTAGATCGTCCCCATCGGCAGCAACAATTGCAGCAAAATTCTCTCGCTTCGAACCGTACAGCATTGCCCGCACACAGAGGTTGAGGATATGTGCAGCACAGCGGATTCGTCGCTCTTCGGATGAGAAGCCGTGCTCAAAGGCAAGGTCTTCCATGCAGGTGTCATTGTTGGCAGCATTGTCCAGCGTGAAGTAGCCGACCGTGTCCGGGTTGTTGACTTGCCAGAATGCCAGTGTATCAGCAACCTCATCGGCAAGCGAGGCACCGTTGTGCTTGCCCGAGAGAGGCCGTAACCCAAGGAGGATGCGGTGTTGTACGAAGGTGCGATCGATGAATTGAGCGTTGATGCCCAGAAATGAAGTGTACGTCTTGGATGTCCAACCATCAAAGGAGAAGTGTACCTGAGATCGAGCGCTGCGAAGGACTTCCGTTACCGGCCCGACAGCACCCCTGTATTCGGATTCGAGCATGCGAAGTAGCGTCTTCCCAGAGGGTATGTGGGTCGCATCTAGGAGAGGGTTGCCGTATAGAAGGAGCCGTTGGAACCTCTCGGTGTTGACAATGTCAAATGGCAGATTATGGTATGTAATCCAGTCGAGTAGGAGCACCCGGAGCCCTTTGCTGTTGAATCTTCCACGCAGTTTGCTGATGAGGAACTGGTCGTGCGGATTATTGAGGTCGGCACCAATGAAATGGGTGATGGGTCGGCCGCCCAGAGATGAGGCTCGCGCGCCTCCGTCAACGTCAGCGGGAGCCTGCAAGGTGAACACTAATGTTAAAATGTGGCTGCATATCGCTGAAGGGCACAGACTTACTAGAATCCCGTGGGCGTTACGAAGGTGCTTTTTGATAGCGGCTCCTGTCGAGCAGACGAAGCAGAAGTCCGACTTCTTCTTGAAACCTCGGGCGAAGCAATCTGCGCATATCCACTTGAGCCTGTTGCCCTGCCGCGACGTGGATCGGTCTTCAACGCGATAGCCGTATTGCTGCCACCACGCCCGTGTATCCTGGCCGCCGGTATAGCGCTCGAATCCAGGCCATTTCGACCACTCTTGACGGCCCCAGAGCGTCCAATCGACGCCAATAAAATCGACCGCAGTTCCGCGAGGACGGGGTGATGGAGTCGTCGGCAGCGACGATCCCGGAGATGATGCGGGCGGCAAAGACGAATACTCCGTACGATCAATCAGGCCTGTCTGATTCGACGGGGACGGACTTGACAGTGGCTCGGAGGACATCGTGGCTTTGGTTCGATGGTGCGAATCGAGCGAGCGAGTTGGTTGATGTTGGTAGAAGCCAGCGAGGCCTCATCGGGGCTCGAGTCGTACTCCATCGTCGCAGCAACGCGTCACACGCGCGTGTCGACGCGGGAAGAGGAAAAAGGAAGCAGAGAAAACGACGAGAAAAGAAAGGGTCGAATCGCAATCTCCGTTGCATTGGCCAAGTGCTCTGGACGACCGGAAAAGTCCATCCGTCAACAATGTAGGCGACGATGAATTGTGGCCGATGGCTGCCACGACGATGGTCATAGACCACCAGCCATTGGTTCGGAGGTGTCAGGCACGGCATTGACGCACGTGCTTGCAGCCAGTTAAATTCAAGGCACCATGGGACCCTGGCTTGGTATATTCCCTGTCTGGCAGCGTTTCCGGTGTCTCCATTGGCTTGTGTGGTTTCGGTGGCGTGTGACGAGTCTGTTCGTTCGCTCTGGTCCATCCTCAAAGTCATCCTCGCCGCCCGCTTGAATCGGCTCGTCTTGTTCCAGTGAGCCCATCAGGGCCTCGTGTAGCAGGGGAAGTGTTATGGAGTCGCTTGTACATCAATTTAGTTGGTGGGTAGGTTTGGGCGGAAGTTCTTGTTACAACCTGCCCATGAATATTTGGACTCGGGTATAGAGGCGGAGGGTTATGTGGGTAACGGGTACGATTACAACGCAAAATGAGGGCTCTAACGTCAAGATTTCATTCTGACTGCGGGAATACTGTGTGATACTTAAATGTTTGCCTGATAGATATATAACTACTGCAAATGAGCCGTTTCTGTTTGCAGACATCGAAAGACAGATGGCGACGGCGAGCTCAAGTTTGGATCCCGCTGGTCGACAGTACCTACCCTATACTATTGTAGGTGTCGGAATTTTTATTCCCTAGCAGCCCTTGACATTAATCCTATATAATGACGCCAGATTTCATTCAACTTTTCGCTCGTTTGCAAGGTCACTACGGAACTTATGATGTGCAACATACTGTAGATTGGTAGCGACTTCATAGAACAGTCATGTACGGGTTTACACTGGACTTGTTTGCAGCAGTTATGAGATACTAATTTTGTTACGTATATGTTGCGGTGGTATGTGTACAATGAAACAGGTTTTAACACGTTGAGCTGTGTGGGGCCGGTAAACGCGAAATCACGTTGGTTCGCGTCAGAGAGCAACAGAGGCCGACTGCCGCGTCTACGTGGACGCGCCCACAGGTACTCCGCGGTAATTTCCGCGAACCGAGTCACTCATTCGATCGAATCGATCGAATCTCGGTCGAACGCCTGGGCCCGTTCGATTCGATGGCGAATAGAGTCTGCCCTGTTCGATTCGTTTGCCGAATGAAAAACGCCACGTTCGATTCGATGCTGTCGAACGTCGAACAAGGCACTGCGCGTTCGATTCGATGCGAATCGAACGGGGTCTTGGCCGATTCGACATCGAATCGAACGCCAAGAAATTCGATTCGATATTCGTAAGACTTGGCATCGAACGAATCTATCGATTCGATTCCCGTTCGTAAGATGTCCATCCCTGACATGTGCAGCCACACACCAAGGGGTAGCATCCCATAACTGGCTTGATTGGAAAGTTTTTCTGGGTCTAAGGGGGTGAAAGTAAAAACGGTCGGGACTGTATCTCTTTGTTAACTATCAGGGTCGGTGAATTATCGATGGTCCAAAATCCCTTCGGCAGGGCAAGCCTCCAACGCGTTGCGATACTCCTCTAGCACATCTAGCCATTGCGCTTCATGTTTGCCAAGGAACCGAAAGCTCTCATTTCCTCCAGTGCTTCTGCAAAGGATAATATTGTCCTGGGGTCTCCGACCGCCATGGGCGAAATCTCCAAAGGCCACAACTCGTAATGATTTTATTCCTTGAGGCCCAAATACCCACTCAGCAAAATGGCGGAATTTGTCTCGCATGGCGCGACCACTTTCGGATAGAACGCAGCCCTTGGCTCTGGACGCCGCCAACGAGGGAATTAAAGCCCATGACGGGTAACGCGCAAGATCCGGAGACGACTGGCGGATATGCAGCACCTTCAATGTTGCCTTGGATACGAATGGGAGCAATACATGCCTCTAGAGAAAATTGCTGCTATCAGTGCCTTGGTCTCCTGCAGATTCAGTGTTCTTACCAGACGTTCTGGGGCGTACGCGATGCCGAGAAATTCAAGATCAAATCTTGCGAGGGGGCTTTGCGATGGATCGTCGCGTATGCAGCACAACTCTCGTCCGAATACAGCGAAGTCCCAAATAGGATATACCCACTCGAAGTAGGGTGGTGTCTTTTCTGTGACAGCGTTTTGCTGTTGCACAAGTCCTTTGAGAGTTGTGTGGCGGCTAGGCCGGGGAATCTTTGTCACAGAGCGGATGGACATGCATCTCGTCTGGACGGCGGGTCAGATGTTCCTCACGCCGATCCCGCGCTTCCTTCTAGAGCCTAGCTTCTGGGCCGAATATATGTGCTGCAGAGGTGGCTGCGGATTCCGTGACGGAGCTGCTGCCGTCTGTGGCGACACAAACAAATGCGAGCGCCAAGGCATCCGACGGCGCGCGCTTGGCTTCCTCTTCTCGTACGCAGCGCTCATATCCCACGAGAGCGACTTTCGCATTGCCCAGGACAAGCACCTGCTTCCGCCGGAGGTCTCATGGCCCGCATGGAGGATATTCGTCGAGCAGCTGGATACGGAGCACATCTCTACACATGTTGACCCCCGCTTCCAGTACGGCGAGCTTCGTCTGAGCCGTCTGAACAAGATATACGCCTTCACGCAGACCCCGCTGCGTGGCTACGTGCGCCGCTGGAATCAGTATGGCACTTTCTTTCATGACAACTTTGCCTGGCTGGCTAGTGCATCGCTTTACATCGTTATTGTCTTGACCGCAATGCAGGTCGGGCTCGCAACGGAGTCTCTTGCCCGCAATGATGCCTTTCAGGCTGCATCGTACGGCTTCACGGTGTTTTCTATTCTGGGGCCCCTCATTGCCGTCTCGCTTATCGTTATAGCTTTCTGCTGCATTTTTGTTTGTAACTGGATGAAGGCCGTTCGGTACAGGAATAGGCGTCTTGATTAGCCTCGCTGGTGGTGCAGGGCGCGACGATGATGATGCCGATCCAGCGTGAGAGGCGTGCAGCGCTCCCGCTTGGGCTCCGAAATGTCGATTCAACTTGTCGAGCATCTGTTCTAACTGGCGACCTGAAGCCATTATTCCGATGGTCAGCGCAATCCTTCGCAGTTGGACGAAATAGATAACTTTTGTGCAGCGCATTCGGCGCCCAAACATTCGCCTGCCATGCCAAATGCCATGGACGCAAGCGGGCAACTTTGCCTGGAGATAATAGTCTAGCAATGGGCTTCCGTACCTCGTGGCCTCTGACCATCAGCACGAAAGTACGATACGCAGTGACAAGGCATCATCTAGTGTTTGTTGGTCAAATACCGCATCTTGACCACATGCCCGAGGAGCACACGGATCTCATGCAGGCGGTCCCGCAGGCGCAACAGAGTGGAACGGCCTACCCTCTCCGCCGGCATCGACGTCTACTGACAACGATGCAGATGACGCCTCCAAACTTGCAGTATGCGACTGCGGCCGGCAAGCAGGTAAGTGCAATGGGTACTTCATCGGCTCTGTTGCGCAGCCTGTTCTTGTTCCCCCGGGGGGCATTGCCACCGCCAGTGCTGAGGATGGAGCACGGCGATACTTCTCTTGGTCCATGCATGAACCTCTTCACCGGTGTGGCCTGTAGTGTTGCGGTGCTTAAGCCACTCCTCGCCAAAGAAAATAGTTTCGCAGCAATCAAAGTGCGCCTTGTTCCGATGACTTCTGTGGCTACTTTCTGTGTAGGATTTCCCACAAATGCAGAGTAGGATGCCATGATAGCGAACTACGACCTTGTATCCGTGTCGAGAAGAGACTCGGACGTGTTGGAGGAGGTAGCTGGTCGCGCGAGGGTTCTGAGAGTGTGTGATTGGCAGAGCGTCGCGTGAGCGTCGCGTTGATCGAGCACGTCGATGGGACCTCGAGTGTTGTGTGGAAGGTAAGACGCGTGGAAGGTAAGACGCGTGGAAGGGAAAACGTTGCGTGGAAGGGAAAGCGTTGCGTGGAAGGGAAAGCGTTGCGTGGAAGGGAAAACGTTGCGTTGCCTGGGAGAGGCGGGTACAAGCCACTTCGCGCGCCTTGGGCTATGTATGGCCCGTGAGCTTCAGGTGTGATAAGGATAAGCGCCTGTTTAGTGCGCCGTATGCCACCACCCCGCCAGCACGCGTGTCGAGGACCCATCAGAGGCAGCACATTATCTGCCTGACATGGCCGGTGCTTCGCGTGCAGGCATGTCCTGGTCGAACTCGGTACATGTGAGGTCAGCTCCGTCATTGGCGCATGTTGCGGAGTGGGAGCATCCAGTCCCGGGAGAGCCTGGACCACATGCAGCAGCGCCAGTCTGAACACAAACCCAAAGCACGACAGGACCATGCGGGCCTGTTACACACAACTTCAACACAATCCTGTCAACAGAATCTTAGCAAGCGTACTATCGCACGAGCAGCACTGATATGCCGCCGCGGATCTATCATGGCGGCGTGCAGCCGCGGGGGTGCGGCGGAAAGAAGCAGACTGTCGGCACGGTCGCCTATAGAGCAAACTCGGTCTCTTATGTCTCCTTGTCATACGTGCTGGCGGACGTGCCCCCCCGTATTCCTGGCTGACGCCACGAACCTCGTTGGCAGCGGATGTGGCACAGAGTAGAGCTGAGCGAAAGTCTGAAATACTACTGCGACGACACTCCGCAAAAGGCATGCCCTGATGCCCTATTAGTGCGTCCGGTATGCTATAGAGTCCGAATCGAAAGGCGGCCATTGCTGTTAGATTGAAGTCAAAGGAGAACCATTCTCCTGTTGTTCAACCCTTCGTAAATGTCCCTGCCAGCAACAAAGCGAAGCGCTTCAAGCCTCTTGGTGCACATCGTCGCC